GGAATGTTACCCCTATAAAAAAGCTTCCTGAGACCACCTCTAAAGGTTCAATTGCTAAACGGCCAACAATAGCTGAGACATAGATACTAGGATCCCCAGTGTGGTTTGAATTAACAGACCTTATCTGGGCCAGCAGTAGAGGCATAACAACTGAATACTGTATTTCGGCTGATGAGGGGCAAAGTAGGGGAGGTGATGGCCTAGTGGTATTGTTGTTAAACTATTAATCCAGAGACTCAACTAATATCCTGGGGACCTGGGTTCAAATCCCACCATGTCAAATGGTGAAGTTTGAATTCAATGAAATAGAAAATTTGGAATGAAGAGTCTAACAATGACTGTGAAGCCATTATGATTTATTAAAAAGAAATCAGCCAGTGTTCTTAATGGAAAGCGCACAAATGTGGGTGTCAGCTCAAAGGTGCTGGTAGTTGAATAGCATGAGGCCACATATATAAACAGTCTGTAATTTATTGAAAAGTAGTTGGCAATATTAGGAGTGAGACAGGTGGGCATTGGGAGCAATTCTAAAACAAAGTATGGCGGAATATAACATACACCAGAAATGTTGGGATGGATGGAGTGCAGGATGTATTTGGAAATGCAGTTGGTTGTGCATAAAAACATAAGACGTAGGAGCAGAAGTAGGCCTTTCAGCTTATCGGGCATTGTTCACTCTTCCATGAGATCATGGCTGATCTGATGAACCTCAACTCACATTCCTACCATTGCCGTACAATTCTTGATTCCTTTAACTGATTAAAATTCTCTCTATCTCAGCCTTGAATATAGGAATGGGGTAGGCCATTCAGCCCTTCAAGCCTGTTCCACCATTCAATGAGATCATAGCTCTTCTGTGGCTTAACTCCATATGGACCAAAGGCAGGTATATCCCTTAATACCTTCACTTAAGAAAAATTGATCTATCTCAGATTTAAAATTAACGATTAATCCATCATCCACTGCCATTTGTAGAGGAGAGTTCCAAACCTCTACCACCCTTTTGTGTATAGAAGTACTTCCTAACATACCTCCTGAATGGTCTGGCCCTAAATTCTTACACTATGCCCCATGGTTCTAGAATCCTCAACCAGTGAAAATAGTTTATCTTTATCTACTGTCTTTTCCTAGCAATATCTTGAAGTCTTCAATCAGACCACCCCTTAATCTTCTAAATTCTTGAGAAAGCAGGCCTAATTTGTGTAATGTCTCCTCATTACTTAAACCCTGAAGTAGTGGTATGATTCTTGTAAACCACATTGTACTCCCTCCAAGGCCAATATATCCTTCCTAAGGTGTGGTGCTCAGATCTACTCATAGTACTTCAAGTGGGATATACTAGAGTTTTATATAACTGCAGCATCATTTCTCCAAGCTTGTGCTCCAGTCCACTAGAAAGAAAGGCCATAATTCAATTAACTTCCCTTATTATATTCTACACCTTTTTCTGACATTTTAAAGATAAATGCACATGAACCCCCAAGTGTCTTTGGACATCCATTTGATACCATCTAGAATGTACCCTGATCTATGCTTCATCAGTCCAAAATGGTTAACTTCACACTTCTTACATTGAACTCCATCTGCCACAATTTTTCCATTCATTTAGTCTATTAATATCCATTTGTAATTTTATGCGAGATATATATATATATACACACACTGTCCACAATGTTACCTGATTTTGATCCAGCCTCGATAGTTTCTGTAGTAAAGAATTATAGAGTCATAGGGTTATACAACACGAAAACAAACCCTTCAGTCCAACTCGTACGTCCTAAATTAATCTAGTCCCATTTGCCAGCATTTGGCCAATAACCCTTTTAAACCCCTCCTAGTCATGTACCCATCCAGATACCTTTTAAATGTTGTAATTGTACCAGCCCTCCACCACTTCCTCTGGAAGCTCGCACCATACACACCTCACCTTCTATGTGGTCCCTTTTAAATCTTTCCCCTCTCACCTTAAACCTATGCCCTCCAGTTTTGAGCTCCCAAACCCTGGGAAAAAAGACATTGGCTGTTCACTGTATTCATGCCTCTCGTATTTTATAAACCTCTATAAAGTTACCCCTCAACCTCTGATGTTCCAGGGAAAACAGCTCCAGCCTATTCAGCCTCTCCCTATAGCTCAACTCTCCAAACGAGGCAACATCCTTGTAAATCTTTTCTGAACCAATTCTACAGGTTCACCACTCAGAGAAAAAAATTCTCCTCATCATTATCTTAAATGGGTGCCCTCTGGTCCTAAACTCTTCCACAAGGGGAAACATCCTGTCCGCATCTACCCTTTCAATAAAGTTGTCTCTCATTCTTCTTAACTCAAATGAGTACAGGCCCAACTTACTTAGCTTTTCCTCCTAGTCAATCCATACCTGGTATCAACTTAGTGAATATATATTAATGACTCAGGAAGAAGGTGAATATACTGTAACCAATATGCAGATGAACTAAAATAGGTGGAAAAACAAGTTGCATAAGGGATACAAACAGTTCACAGATGTTGATAGGTTAAGTGGGCAAAACATTGATAAGTGGAGTATAATATGGGAAAATGTGAAGTTGTTCATTTAGGATGGGAGAATAAAAGAACAGGGTATTATTTAAATAGAGAAAAACTGCAGAAAGCTACAATACAAAGGGACTTGTGGGTACTTCTGCACAAAACACTGCAAGTTAACAACAGGTGCAGCAGGTAATCAAGGAGGTTAATGGAATGTTGGTCCTTAATTCAAGGGGTTTGGAGTATAAGAATAGGAGATGCTGGATTGTTCTATGAGCGAAGGCTAAGCACATTGGGACTGATTAGAATTTAGAAGAATGAGAGGTGATTTCATTGAAACATATGGGATTGTTGAGGAGCTTGACAGGATAGATGTTGAGAGGATGTATCAGCTCATGGGAAAGTCTAGACCAAAGGGCATCATCTCAGAATAAACAGGCACCAGTTTAATAAAACACACAAAGGTACATAAATCCCTGGGACCTGATTGAGTGTATCCCAGTACATTGTGGGAAACTAGGGAAGAAATTGTTGAGTCCCTAGTGGCGATATTTGTATTATCAACAGCCATGGTGAGGTGCCAGAAGACTGGAGGGCGGCTAATGTTGTGTTATTATTTAAGAAAGGCTGCAAGGAAAAGCCAGGGAGGTACAGACAGTTAGCTTGACATCAATGGTGGATTTGACATCAATGGTTCTTGGAGGGCATTCTGAGAAACAGGACCTACATGTATTTGGAAAGGCAAGGACTGATAGTCAGCATGGCTTTGTGCGTGGGAAATCATGTCTCAAACTTGATTGAGTTTTTTGAAGAGGTGATCAAAAAGATAGAAGAAGGCAGAGTGGTAGATGTCGCCTACATGGACTTTAGTAAAGCCTTTGACAAAGTTCCTCATGGTAGACTAGTTAGTAAAGTTAGATCGCATGGGATCCAGGGAGAGCTAGCCAATTGGATACAAAATTGGCTTAACATAGAAGACAGAGCATGGTAAGATCAATGCTGGGGCCACTGTTGTTCGTCATTATATTTAATGATTTGAATGAGAATACAGGAGGCATGTTTAATAGGTTTACGGATGACACCAGAATTGGTGATATATTGAACAATGAGGAAGGTTATCTAACAGTACAGCAAGATTTGATCAACTGGGCCAGAGGGCCAAGGAATAGCAGGTGGAGTTTAATTCAGATAAATGTGAGGTATTGAATTTTAGTAAGACAAACCAGGGCAGGACTTGTACAGTTAATGATAGGAGTCTCGAGAGTGTTGTTCAACAAAGAGACCTAGGGATGCAGGTACATAGTTCCTTCAAAATGTCATCGCAGGTAGGCAGGATGGTAAAGAAGGTGCTTGGCACACTTGCCTTCATCAATTGAAGCATTGAGTACAGGAGTTGGAATTTCATGTTACGGATGTACAAGACACTGGTAAGGCCACATTTGGAGTACTGAGTACAATTCTGGTTGCCCAGCTGTAGGAAGGATGTTATTAAACTAGAAAGGGTGGAAAAAAGATTTACAAGGATGTTACCAAGAGTTGAGAGTTTGAGATATAAGGAGAGGCTGGTTAAGCTGTGAGTTTTTGCCTTGGAGCGTAGGAGGCTAAGGGGTGACCTTGTAGAAGTTCATAAAATCATGAGGGGCATAGATAAGGTGATTAGTCAAGGTCTTTTCCAGGGTTGGGGAGTCCAAAACTAGAGGACATAGATTTAAGGGAGAGGGGAAAGATTTAAAAGGGAATGGGGGGGCATATATGGAAGGAGCTGTCAGAGGAAGTGGTAGAGGTGAGTACAATTACAACATTTAAATGGCATCTGGATGAGTATTTGGATAGGGGTATGGCCAAATGCAGGCAAGTGGGACTAGTTCAGTTTAGATAACCTGGTCGGCATGGACGAGTTGGCCCACAGGTTCTGTTTCTGTGCTGTTTGACTTTATGTATCTAGGTGAATTATTTTCTTCAATCAGAGGGTTGAGCATCGTTGTAATTCCTTGCCACAGGGAGCTGTGGGGACAGAGTCCTTGTATCTGGTTAAGGCTGAGATAGATGGATCAGAAGGGGAATCAAGGGTTATGGGGAAAAGGCAGGAAATGGGTCATGAGGAATGTGAGACTGTTGAGTTGCTCAGCCAGCCTACTCCTGTTCCTAATTCTTGTGGTCTTAACCTTCTCTGGACTGCCTCCAATGCCAGTGCATCTTTCCTTACATCTGATGGTCTATGTCTCTTGGTGCCTGTGTCTCTCCATATGCACGAGTTGGTGTCAAGAGGAAGAGATGTGCGTGGTGAGATGATGGAAATGGTTCTTCGTTTTATTACAGCGTGTGATTATATTCTGCGAGGAGGGAGAGAGATTGAAATTGTCAATCAAAGCAGATGGGTGCGAGAGAGTGTGTCTGGCAGTGAATGGAACGATTGCTAATGGTGGGAAGGGTTTCGGGAGGTGGGGTAGAGACTGAGACTGTCGATCAATGCAGCAGTTGGGGGGGGGGAAGAGGGATGATGTCAGCGCCTGATTCCGGTTTACGCAGCGGTAACTTGCAGTCTAAGCAAAGGCAGAGTTGGAGCTGGTCTCCCTTGTGCGAAAAGAAGCCTCAGTCACTGAGAACAGCGGTGTTATGGACAGTGACGACGATAATGTGGAGGAGACGGTGGAAGGTGAGGGGGGTGGGGGGAGTGTTCCAGAGAAAGGGTTTGATGCCTCATCTCCCTAAAGCAAGCCGGGCAGGAGGGAGGGACAGTGCAGTGCGGATATATCCGGCCCAAAACCGCCCGTCTTGAAAGAGGTGGCTTTTATTTAGTGCGTTTAACCCGTGCGTCGAAAAATCAGTTGCACGGTCAGTGAATATACCTTTTTAAACAAATGTTTTGAAAAAGTTTTTTTTTGATCCAAGGTTTTGTTGACGAAATGCAAATTTAATTCGTCAAGATAAAGCCCATAGTTTTTTTTTAGTTGAAGTACGTCGAAATTCTATTCTGACTTTCCGGGGAATGGAATGGATTTTTTTTAATATAAAAAAAACAAAAAGCGAATCGCTTCAAAATACAATGTGCTACTTTAGCAGTTATGTAACCTGGATTATTGTGATGCAGGCAGTCCCTCAGAGGAGCAGAATGAAAGCACCACTGCTATGGTGGGAAACTGAGGCTGTGTGTTTACAATTTGTTGCATATTTATAATCTGAAACAGAGCCTGGAAACTTTTCTCTCACTTTCTCCCCCCCCCCCCCCGTACCTTCTTAAACAATGTAATCTTTACTTCACGGTGAAGTCTTCGAGTGGAGGTCATTGTAGATGTTGACAACTTGCCGTACGATTTTTTTTCTCTCTATCAATGATTATTTCAGAAGAATTGAGAAATAAAGCTTCCCCGCCCCCCCATTGTTAATGCCACACACAACAGTGAGGAAACGAAAAAGCAATTTCTCCCCCGTCGCGACATTTCAGCTGTTGTGTTCACTCATAATAAATAACCCAGTCAGGGAAAAAAAAGTCCCCTCCAAACTGGGTTTCGCACAGTCCTTAAGTTGAAGCCTCCCTTTTGACTTTAATTGAACAGAATTCCTGGTGATACTTAGTCAGCAGATGTGTGTCATATATTGCAGTAATTTGCATTGTTTTTTTCTTTTGGATTTAAGATGATGCATTTTACGTGTGTGTGTGTGTCTGTGCTGAGGTTCAGTAAGTTTAAAGTGTTCCTATTGTAGGTCCCCTGGATGAAGATAACGAGCCACATGGGTTCTGTAAAGTTACCTATTCTTCAGGTGACAGATTTGAAGGGCATTTTGTGCATGGTGAGAAGAATGGTCACGGGAAGTTCTATTTTTTTGATGGCAGGTAAAAAAAAAATCAAAGTCCATCAATTTGAAGCTTTATTACTTGTTCAGATATATTTGCTCTATCAGAGGGGTTTTTCTCTTGATCTAAGTTAGGATTTCTTTGACTGTAATTTGGAATGTGTATAATGGTGTGTTTACTGGGAAAAAGGGTGGTCCCCTCATTCAACCATTTGCTGTTGCACTTAGTCTATAAATCAGAAGTTTATTGACACTATCAATGCTGGTGATTCAAATTTCATATGGATGTTTCATTTCTATTGATTTATAAAGTATATTTGGCAATGTGTGCTTGTTGCAGGATGTTTCTACAAACTGCTCCTTTGCAACATTGCCCAGATTGAAAATGATGTATTTTATGTTTTGACACTCACTTTTTGATGGCATCATGAGTGTAGTTTGTAACAACTAAATTACAAATTTTCAGTTGTGCTGGGAGATTTCCTGTTTTCCCTTATTCTCTTTAGATTTTCATTAATTATCTTTTTAAGAGTGGGGAAGAAATGGAGAAGGGTGGATGTTTTCATCAGTGGTGTCAGTACTGCCTTGCCAGCAGAAAGTTTGTTTGTATCATGAAGACACTATCCCCATACATAAATGCGTATGCAGCTGAATTGTGAAGTAATTGTGGGTACATTACAAACAATGCATTTTGTCTTGGTAGGACAGCAAGGACAAGAAGTGTAGAATGATGTCAGCTCAGTAACTATTTATAGAACTGTTATATGGGGAGGAAAGTAAATCTTTTCCGTTGCTGTGTAAAGGAGAAAAAATGACCTAAGTAACTAAAATTTAAACGTACAAAATTTTATTTCAACAAATAAATTCAGTTCAAGGACTCATTAAGAAATTGTGGTCTATTGAAATCACATTTAATATGTGTCAATATATTTATATTAATTTACTGAATGAAAATGTCATGTTTTGCTATGATTTTTAATCTTTTTTTTCCATATAAAAAGTTCCTATTCATTGTGTAGAATGGGATATACCTAGGGGTTGTGTATTCTGGTGTTCACTTACCTGCAGGTCATTCCAAATGTTTTCTCCAGTTTCTCCATCTGAGAATTTCTCAAGAACCGAACATTCTATGTTTCCAAGGATTTTGTTTAAAGAAAGTCAAAGACTACCAGACCCTGGTAACATTATTAAATATTTCATTAAGTTTTTATAGCCTTAGCCTTTTCCAAAAGCCCAAATTGTAACTGGGGTCAGTATATTTAGTGATGCAGTTTGAGCATTTGAAGTGTGACTGATTTCCTAGCTGCATTGATTTGAATATTTTTCTTTAGCTGCAAGCTTCCTTTGATCATTGGAAAAAGGACACATTTCCAAAGTTTTATTGAGGGAATCAAATGAGTGAGGTATGGTTATGAGACAAGGGAAAATATATACTATGCTAATTGCATTTTTGGTTCTGTGTTCCAAAAAACATAATAACCATAAAATGCTGGAAATACATCTCAACACTAATGTCAATGATCTCATCTGAGATGTTACGTTTTAAAAAATGTCAGTACTAAGCAATTACACCTGTGAAACTGATTCTAAATTCTAACTGATTGGGATAAATCAGGAGAAATAGACATGTAGTTGAGAAAGTGAGACAGGCAAAATGAAGTAATTACAAAGAAACATGGGCAGTTTATTCTAATTTTATTTACTTGTGTTTAAAAAGAAAATGAGCAAACAAACCTTCTTCCCTTCCAAACTTTTAAAGAAAGGAGGAAGAGTAAAGGGAACTACTTGCCACCTGCTTTTGGGACAGGACCAATGAGGTAATTAATCTAGTGCAGTCATAGTTGTCAGTCTTTTCACATCTTACTGTTCAATGTCAGTTGGAAGCAAAATAATGTATGGTGTAGGATTCCAACTGATTCAATTGCATCAGTTTCCCTTGTGTTATTAATAGCTCCTAGTGTTCCAGTTGGAATTGGAGTTTGGGAACAAGTGTTGTCATATTTGTGGCAAAGAAGCATGTATCTGCAATCAGTCTGATAACTGGGCCATGGGTTTTCAGATGCACTATTTCTAGAATATTCCATTCCAAGTTAGAGAGAGTGGCATGATAACTTTTCTCCAGATATTTCTTTATTCAGATGTAAGACAGAAGCAAATGTAGTAGTTAACTTGCAACATTATTATGTAGGAAAGTATTTGTGGTGTGATCTTGGATCAATCCTCTTGGTATTGATACTTTAAAATATATTTGTGTATTATGTTATCCTTGGGTCTTTACAACTTGAGCAGTAAGGAATTTAAAACTTAAAAACAAAATCAAAGATGCTGGAAATCAGAAAGAAAACCAGAAATGGCTGGGATAACTCAGCAGCATCTGTGGAGAGAAAGCAGAGTTAACATTTCAGAAGGAGGATCTCTGGTCCTGAAACATTAAACTTTGCTTTCTCACCACAGATGGGGCTGCCGGGCCTGCTGAGTTATCACACAATTTCTGCGTGTTTTTTTTTAGGAATTTACAGAAAGACACATTGATACTTTGAAAAATTGTTGTTCAACTCAAAGGGGCAGATATGATTTGGAAATTGGAGTCACAATATACAATGAAAGTCTTTGAACTAAAAGCTAAATAATGCAACTGCTAAAAATATGAAATAAAATAACACTGAAGGCACCCAGCAAATCAAATAGCATTAATTGAGAAAACGTGTCAGCTGACTTTAAAGGTATAGACCCTTCCTTTTAGAACTGAAATGTACTAATGATGTGTTGCAGTTCAATAGTAAGTGTAAAATTAGGTACAAACAAACTTGACTGGAGGAAAAACATGAAAAAACCAGTAGACTCAGATAATTTAGTTAAAATGTGGAAGTGATGTGTCCAGGCTATGTGAAACTTGATGAGATAAATTGAGGAAATGAGATACACACAAAAAGAAAGGCTTGCATTTATATCCCAAAATGATTTACAGCAATTACATTTGAAGTTTATTTGCTGCTGTAATGTAGGAAATATGGCAGTTAATGTTATAAAACAGCTCCCACTAATTGTAATGAGGTAACGATCTTTTTTCTGATGAAGGGTCTAGGCCCGAAACGTCAGCCTTTCTGCTCCTATGATGCTGCTTGGCCTGCTGTGTTCATCCAGCTCTGCACCTTGTTGTCTCTCATCTTTTTTTGTTGTTCTTTTATGTCCTAAAAAATCCTTTTTTTAAAAATCCATTTCTGGGATGTGGGTGTTGCTGGCTGGCCAGTTTTTCCTGTCCATCCCTAGTTGCCGTTGAGATGGTGGTGAGCTGCCTACTTATACTGTTGCAATCCACCTGCTGTGGATTGACCCACAATGCCATTAGGGAGGGAATTCCAGGATTTTGATCGAGTGATAGTGAAGGAACAGTGATGTATTTCCATATCAGGATGGTCAGTGGCTTGGACGGGAAATTGAGGGTGGAGGTGTTCCCATATATCTGCTGCCCTTGTCCTTCTAGATGGAAGTGATCGTGGGTTTGGAAGGTGCTGTCTGAGGATCTTTGGTGAATTTCTGCAGTGCATATTGTAGATAGTACACGTTGCTGCTACTGAGTGTCGGTTGTGGAGGGAGTGGATGTTTGTGGACTGCTTTCTCCTGGATGGTGTCAAGCTTCTTGTGTTGTTGGGGCTGCACCCATCTAGGCAAGTGGGGAGTATTCCATCACACTCCTGACTTGTGCCTTGTAGATGGTGGACAGGCTGACGAGTCAGGAGTTGAGTTACTCACTGTAATATTCCTAGCTTCTGACCTGTTCTTGTAGCCACTGTGTTAATGTGGTGAGTCTAGTTGAATTTCTGGTCAGTGATACCCCCAGGATGTTGATAGTGAAGGATTCAGTGATGGTAACACTGTTGAATGCCAAGGGGCGGTGGTTAGATTGTCTCTTATTGGTGATGGTTATAGCCTGGCATTTGTATGGCACAAATGTTACTTGCCACTTGACAGCCCGAGCCTGAATATTGTCCAGATCTTGTTGCATTTGAACTTGGACTGCGTCAATGTGTGAGGAGTTGTGAATGGTGCTGAACATTGTGCAGCTGTTGGTGAACATCCCCACTTCTGACCTTATGATGGAGGGATCCTTGTGACATTGTAAAAGTATGTTACATAATTCATCTTTATATGTTCCATGAAGTCTAGTAAATCAGCTTCTTTCAATACAATAGATGAAGGGTTTCTCTACGCATGTTAGTATGGGTTAAATTTACAATTTTTATTTGCATTTTCATGTCAAACCATGCTGTGGTGTTTATAGCCAAAGGTGTTTTACATTATCTAGCCTCTTGGTCTAATATGGCAGGAGGGTCTTGAGTGTGGCCTTTTGCGATTGAGCCTTTGCAGTGGTTACCATGTGTGTCTCTTGCCACAAGAAATGGGGGAGGCTGGTTGCAGATGGGCTGGCACCAGGAAGCATATTCAAAGTGAAATCCAGCCAGCAAAAAGTAGTTGATTGGTTTGTGGAATTGTGACCAGCTGTCGATGACCTAGGCTATCTGCCTGCCAATAACTATGTGGTTAGATCCTGGAAGCTGAACAACATGTGGGTGTGAATATCATTGCCAGAAGATTTTGGACCTCTGGGAAGGGAGATGGTCTGTCTCTTTGCAGTAGGAAATACTGAAAGCCACCAATTGCTTTAGACAGAGACTTTAAAATTTGTTAGCTACTCGCCTGTGCTGCCTGTGAAGAACTGAAGAGAACCAAGAGGAAACAAACTGAGGGACCGCAATTCGTGGTAAACAAAAGGACCATCTCAGCTAAACCCTGTGGACAAAAGCCATTGAACTGATTCCCAGTTTTTTTTCTCCCTCCACTAGTAACACCAATTTTTTTTTTGTGTGTACAGAGGGGGAGTTTCATGAAGGGGTTAGAGTTTTTAAGGAGGAGAATCAAATGTTGACAGATTATAGTTGCTTGCCTGTAGCTAGAAACTATTTATTTGTCATAGTCATTCTTTTTAACTACAAAAACCTAGTCCATATAGTATGTGCCTGATTCTAAACAAACAGATAACTGAGGATATTTTTAGTACGTTGGTAAAATCTTTGCCTTTTTGTGATGACTCCAAGAATAGAGGGGCTTGATATCCTGCTTGCTACCCCAGTGAGGCATAACAAGTGTCCCACAGATTGCTGAGCACAAGACTGGACACTAACATGAACATTGACGTAGTTTTAGTGTTTCTTGCACTGTGTGGGGGTGCGCACCTTCAGTGTAATGGGATCTGGAGCAAGGGCTGGAGATTTGGCTTCCAGTGGCAGCACCCCTCTTTCCCCATTTATACCCCCAGCTATGGGGTGATTTCTATTTGCTCTTGCCTAGTTTGCATCATAAGAAAGCAGGATCTTTACCTGCCCTTCTCAGTCAGCAATCGGGCTAGTGGCTGTTAGTAGGCCCTTAAGGGCCTTAGTTGGTGGCAGGTCGGGAAGATCAACCATGAACTTTCCTGCACAGAAATTGATTGCTGAGGTGGCAGGAAGTGTGTTCATATCTTGTACGAAACCCACCTGATCGTTTGCTCCTTCCGTCACCCATGGTGGAGATATATCTCACCCTTTATTACCTCTGCCACAATAAATAAATGCCCCAACCTCCATGAGGGAGGTTTTTATGCTTCATTCAAACTAAACTGGATTCAATAAGTAATGATGATGTGCTCATGAATAAAGCAAAACCAATGCAATGTGAATTACCTGAGTGAAATTTAATGTGGAAAAGGCCCAAACCACCTTTGTGCTGTCAATAAGTCCATTAATGACAAAGGAGAGTTTTGTCCATAGTGGAGTCATCCTTTTATGACTTTTGTGGAATAGTGATTGCTTTACTTTAGAGCCAGAAGGTTCAGGTTCAAGTCCCACCCCTCCCTCCAGAGATTTGTCGTAACGTGTCTGAATAGATTTGTTTAAAAAAATCTACAGAGCCTCGCTGCTTGATCAGGAGGCACTCTTATGGCCCACCTATGCATGCTGCATTTGTCAGCTTATAATGGGGTTTCAGCACTGAAAAGCATCACCCTAACCACAATCAAATGGGTTTTCAGTGCACATGTTAAAGTTTAATAGTATTGCGTGGGAAATGAGAAAGGAGTGGGAGTGGCACACCCTTCTCGTTCTGCCATTGGGAATGGAGTGTCATTTTGGTGAAATATTGTCAGTGGATCTCACTTGGAGAAATTTATTTTGTCTTCTATTCCTTCATTTGTGTAAACACAAAAGCTAGAAGTAGGATATTGTTCCTTTTGACTATTTCTGCTGTGATGTTGTTATGTAATTACAGGGTATTGTGTTATTTGACTGTGAAAGCTGTCAACATTTGAAACTACTGCAATTCACACCTGACAGCGATGGTGCATTTACTTCCAGCAGGGGTCTTTACCTCAAGCCAGTCTGGCACAGAGCCTCTGAAGTTAATGAGCATTGGTTGAGTTTAGCTAACTCAGCACTAGTATGGTTTTGCTGGACTTTCAGGCTTAGTATCATATGCTCAGCATTCCCCTCCTAGAATACGATGGAAGGGCACATTTTGCAATCTGCAAAATACCAAGAGATGGATGCACCAAATCATTGGCAGCAGACTGGCCTATACTTTAAAAATGATGTAGTATCTTTTTACATAGGGAGGGGTAAAATCTGCGAATTTCTGCTTATACTTTCCATCAGGGGTCAATTTGTAACTGCATAAAGTATGAGGATAATGGCGCTTGTGGCACAGTGGTAGTTACTTTGCCTGTAGGCCAGAAGATCTGGGTTCAAATATTACCTGCGCTGGAAATGTGTTTCAACGTTTCCAAACAATAGGTTAGTTAAAGATCCCTAAAATGAAAGGGTACAATGTAATGCTTTCTTTGCTGCAATAGCCTTGCATTCTGAGCTGAAACATGAGGAATTGGCACACTGAACAATGTATGGAGGTATTTATTGTGAAATTTGCCTTTTAGGGAGGAGGCAAGAAAATTCTTGGCGCTGAATGAGACGTTTCTCTAAATTGTGTAGGTTTAGTGGTCAGGACACAGAATTCCAAGAATATTTTTGTGAAATTATGGAATAACTTACAAGTATGAGAGTTGCCTTATTTCTAACCAGCTGTAGCGCCCTGTTATGGATTTCAGGCTGTCCTTGTAGCCTCCACTTCTTTGTGTGGATATTATTTTGTCAAAGTGACAGCACATCCTGCAACCTTGCAACTACATACACATTCCCAGCATACCTTTTTTAAAGCTGGTTTGAGGAAGAATTGTTAATGTGACCATAGTATGTCTTGAATGCTGAACTTTGCACGACACTTGGGTTTGAACTGTCTGTTGTTTTGCTTTAAGTTAAAAGTTGTGAAGAGAGAGCTGGTGAATACCTGATTTATCACCCAATTTCTGTATGATCTGAGATTGACACGGGAGAAATTTTAAAAAGAAACCCTTCAAAGTTTTTGAATGGCAGTTCTAGCACTTTTGGCAAGTAACAGAAGGAAAAACTGTTGCTGTGGAGAAACCTAGGAGTGCTTGTGTTACAGACTAAGGATAATTTTAAGGGTTCAGTTTCTGTTCAAAAGTAAGGGAGAATAATAGGTGGGGCTCTGGAAGATTTAGGCAACTGGAATCATTGCGATATGCCTTGCTGGTGATAATTGGATTTGGATTTGGAAAACTCAGGCAGTTTGGAAAGATTGTCAAAGGATTCTGGAAATTTTGACCTGGCATGATTGGTAGAGGTGAACCTTTGCTGGAAAGCTGGGAGTGTCTTTGAAACTTTTTTAAATGCCTTATGTTTGTCAGAAACATGGAGTACAGGGAGTGTTTCCTAAGTCATAATTCAGTTATCTTAGTGCAAAACTTAACTGACATTTCAAACTAAATAGAAGTTACCTGTTAATTAATGTTTGTCCTATGTTGAGTTTAGTCTTAATCTGTTTGTTCCAGTAAAAGTTTTGAAATGTGAAATCTTGCTGTTCAGCTATCAGTTGGTTGTTTGATAACTTTATTTTTAAAATCAAACAAACTTGTCCGTTTGTATCGGGGTCGTAACAGCCGGTCAGAAGTGTTCCTGGAGTGAAAGTGAGAAGCAAATAATTCTGTAAAATTTTTAAAGCTTTTTGCCTTCCTTCCAGTCCCCAGTAATTGTGACATTCTGTGCTCTAATGTAAATGGAGTGCAAGAATCCACTGAGAAATGTACATACTGTTACTGGAAGAAGAAATTAAATGATTTACGTGGCAAAGAAGCTGATTATTGCTAGAGGCCAGTGATGTGGTGTCTCATTTGCTTGACCTTATTAACTTTACCAGCTGCTGAGATAGGTCAGGGTCTAGAAATAGTTGCAAATTACCCTTCTGCCAATTGGAAAGTCCCTCTCTTTCCCTGTTAAGGCCTAATCAAGGCAGCAACCTCCATGTGATGAGTAGCATGTTGTTGCAATATGTCATCCAGCTGATTGGAGGAAAAGGTCAGTCAGTTTTGGTGATCTCTGCTATCAATAAGGCTAGCACAGAATCAAACTGGATCTGTGTATGCATTAATGTTCAGTGTTTATTTTTGAGCTGGTATTGGTAAAATCCCCACGTCTGATACTTAGGTGGGGATAAAATTGCATTCCTGCTGGTTTTGCAGATTTGTCACTACTGCATATCAACCACATATTCCATCTTCATAGAACAATCTTACCTTTGGTATTCTAACTTCGTCAAAAATTAAGCGAGACGGTTAGAAAAACATTCTTTATTTCAAAATTAAATTTATTGCATCAGTCATTCCCTTGGACTGGAGATTGGATCCAGTGTGCAATTTAGACTAAAGCACCTACTTCATTAGGATTAACCTGTTTCACTTCCTGTTAATGAATCATTGTTTTTGTTTGTATGTTTACCTGCTCACTAATTTTCTAAGTTATAACTGAGTTCGTGTTTAATTGGACATATTTAGCTTTGTTTTTTAAAAAAACACACACAAACAAATCCAACCAGTGCAGTACATCATTTAGTCACTTTGATAATGTGAAAATCTCCCAACAAAATTTACTCGTAATCCGAATGAATATTTGATGGGAACCGTTTCAGTTTTGCTTGTAGGCAAAACCAACTAAGTGACTTGGTGGGGGGAGAAATTGTAACATCATGTATCCCTTTTATTATTTAGCACGCTGGAAGGGAACTGCATTGATGATGCTTTACAGGGACAAGCTGTGTACACCTATGAGGATGGCAGTACCCTCCATGGTACCTACATTGATGGAGAACTGAATGGCATAGCTGAGGAATATGATTCGGAGGGACATTTGACCTTCAGGGGTCAATACAGGGATAATGTCCGATGGGGTGTTTGCTGGATGTACTTTGCGGTAAGCTTCAGTTAACTGGAGAAAGGCTTTGAAAACTGTGGTTAACTTTCACACTGATTGGAAGGATCTTTTTGGTCCCAGTCTCTGGGAAATTGCTTTAATTGGGCTCAGTGCACCTACTTAATTTCCTGAACATAATATGCACTTTGACTTTTTATTCATGAAAGTAAAATTTATTTTATCGCCCTATACAATGTGCACCCAAACCTTTGCAAAGCTGCGGTCAAAGTGACCCTCTAGTGACAAAGGTAATGAGCAAACCCAATCAAGGTAGAGCATTGAACACATATGCATTGTTTTTAAAAACAAAACACCAAAAAAAAATTCTTGGCAGAAAGCACCCTGTTGAAATGGACAATTCAATTGTATCTAGATCAGAAAGAAATGTATTAAAGTTTATTTTGTGCTCACTGTACTATTAAAAAGAGTAATCAGGCAAAATAAATTGTGTTGAATTAAAATGTGGATATGTAAAGTTAAAGCCATTGCGTAAAGGGTACGTTTCCATCTCTTTATCGAATGTTGGGCGCTCATGTGTTTATGGATTGTTTTGAAAATAGCACATGACACCATAATGTGCAATTCTTCATAAACAGAGGTTCTCAACCTGTGACTCCTTTTGCAGTTGCTGGACGATCCCTTTTTGGTTGCAAGCAGTGAGGCAGCAATGTTGATTGTGAAGCAGAGAATTGGGCTGGAGTGCAACTTCTTTTCTTTTCCACAAACAGTTCATCAATGGGACAGTTTTCTTGGTGCCCTTGTTTGCCATTCAGTACAGCTTACACATTGGCTGATCAGGGGCCTCTGTAGGCATCTTTGTTACTCATGGTGGAGCTTTGTATGCTGAGACCACATTACAATTGCTTGCACAGTTTTTATCTCCCATCCAAGTCCTCCAAATCGCTGTGGACAAAACCATTGGCCCCTACTTAACAACACCCCTAAAACACATTCACAATTCCTTCTCTTCCAACCACCATCTCCCTCCACATTCCCCACCAAAAAAAAGACAACGTTGCATCAATTTTCAAGCATTAAATTCCATTCATTGTTGGGGGGAAGAAGTTTAAGAAGTTTCATGAGTTTGTAAATACCCTGGCTGCAAAACCACCTGTTTAGTTATCATGTATATTATTTAGCCTAGCTTCAAGATCAACTTTAGTTTTCCACCGTGTTCAGAAAAGTATGGTAGGCTAGGGAGAAAGAGAAATTTTATTTGGGCATTGCCCCAACTTTCTGACTCGGGCTCATGTGCGGCCAGCTGAGCCACAGTTAATATTTGGTGAAGGTGGAGAAAGCTGGCAAAACAAAGGTTGGGTTTATTACAAGTTGCCTTGTATTTGAGTTTTCATGGCCATAAACATAAGTGTGCAGTATTTGCTACTGTGTTCAGAAATTGCCTCAGAACGACCTCCATTTTGCTGCTGTAACTTTCCCAGCATTGCAGAAACCCCACTTTTGCAGGGATGTAGTCCTCTTCCATATGGTGACAAAGTGAGAGCAGTTCTGAGGAAATGCTCAGCCTATATTCCCAGGATTTTGAACGAAAATGCATGCTGCAAACATTACATCTGTGAACATAGTGTGATGTGAATCAAGTGATGTGTTATCTTTTTGTGACAGGATGGAGGCTGCCTTGTAGGAGAGGTGAATGAAGATGGAGAGATGACTGGTGATAAAATAGCTTATGTATATCCTGAGGGCAAAATAGCCTTGCTTGGGAAATTTGTTGATGGGGAACTTATTGAAGGACACCTGGCAACTCTCAAGTGTGTATCTGAGGGGAAACCCCAGTTTGACCTGGTACCTGATGGTAAGAAGTATTGATTTTATCATTACACAATTTCATTGCATAATGCACACCTTTGTTTTCAATTATCTTTTATATTTTGAGGAAAATTTATGAATAAATGTTTTGCTCAAAGGTTAACAGGATGGATGGTATATTAAGTCCCCATGTCTGTGTGGGTTTCCTCCCACAGTCCAGAGATGTGCAGGGTAGGTGGATTGGCCATACTAAATTGCCCAAAGTGTCTAGGGATGTTTAGGTTAGGTGGGTTAGACATGGGAAATGCAGGGATAGGGGAACGGGTCTGGGTGGGATGCTCTTCGGAGTGGCGGTGTGGACTTGTTGGGCCGAATGGCCTGTTTCCACACTGTAGGGATTCTATGAAGCCAAGTGTCATATTGTAAACTTACAAGTCTTTTAAAATTTTGAATATGACAGTATGTTAAGGCATATAAGTAGTGTTTAATTCCCTTGATGGCACCTGTAGAGAGAAACTGAGCAAAAATATCCAATAGATTCTAGTGAAAAGTCATTCAAGCAGAAGCATTAACTCTGTTTTTGCCTTCACAGAGGCTCCCTGAGCTGCTCAGTACATCCAGCACTTTCTGATTTAATTTCAGATTTCCTGCATCTGCAGTACTTTCCATGATTTTTAATATAGAATCTCTGCAGTGCGGAACCATCTGAAAAACATCCCACCCAGACCCACTCCTCTACCCTATCCCTGTAACCCTGTATTCCCCATGAATAATCCACCTAATCTGCACATCCCTGGACACTACGGGCAATTTAGCATGGCCAATCCATATAACCTGCACATCTTTGGACACTGGGAAGAAACTGGATCACCCCGAAGAAACCCACGCAGATATGGGGAGAATGTACAAACTCCACACAGACAGTCGCCCGAGGGTGGAATCAAATCCATGGCACTGAGAGGCAGCGGTGCTAACCACTGAGTCACTGTGTCACCCATTAATATTGTTTTCCAATCTCTGCAATACTTAAGTGATTTAGGCAGGGTGGTAAGAATTTATGGAAGAGAGGAAGATCAGTCAATTGAGTCTCTTTTATACTGGTAACCAAATGGGACTGATGGAGAGTTGTGCAAGGGGAATAAATTGTGTTTAAGTGGATTCGAGTTTGGGTTCTGGTGGGAAGGTGTCAATGATTTCACCTCTGTTGGGAATGATCATTACGTATAGTTTTCCCATCTCCAACTAATACAAGGGAGTTAAGAAGACAAAGAGGAACTATAAAATTAAAGAAATATAAATAATGATAGTGAAGTAATTTACAAATGCCTAAATAATGAAAGGTTACAATAGTGACAGAGCCACTAAGAGATGCACATAATCAATTCATGGATGATGACATTGAAATGCAGGAATACAAAGTTAGTTCCTGTAATTCAGTATTTACTAATGGACATGACATTATATATCTTAGCAATGATTTCATGCCAGTTAGTTTATATTTCCCTGGACTTGCTGTATACAGAAAATACTTCAAATAATTGAGGCATTCCTGTGGGACTAAGGTAGAAACGGAGATGAAAACAAACTTAAAATCATAAACTTTTGATTAAAACTGAAGGATAATCAATGCACAATGTTTCCTGGGTTGGTGTCTGTGAGAATACTTCAGTTTGATTGGTTACTCACCCTGAATGATGAAATGACATGCAGGACTCTGGGGATTCCTTGACTTGCTGCCTAATTGAAATAACAGCAGCTGAAAGGAACTGCAGAGATTTCTGAATTTCAGTAACTATCTTCAAGGTCAATGGTGAGCACCATCACTTCATTGTCTACAAAACCAAGACCATTGTGTGGTTGTACAAAGTTTTATAGACAGACCAGACCAGACCCCCTCAAAATATTTTAAGAAGGTAGCCTAGACCCTAACTTTTTCTTCTTTCAAAGGCAATTGTGAAGTGCTGTGTTCCAGATGCAATTTAGCTGTTCAAACTACTCGACATTAAGCAAAACCCAATTTATTCAAACAGTATTGTTAAAATACAACAAAAGAAAGAAGAACTTTGAATAACTTAACTCCATTATTCTGTTAAGTTTTCCAATAGATACAGTAACTATTATTAAATGTTCGAATATAGTAACATCCCATAAACACACCCTTGGCAATAAAGGCAAATTCAGAAACAGGTTTTCTCTCTCTCTGCTGCTGTATTGCATGTGAGACAAAATATCAAGTGAAAACTCAGTAGCAGCCAGGAGACATTTACTGCAGCCTCCAACCCTGTTGAGACTCCAACATCAACCGCTGAATCGAAAAGGTAAAAAACTTAAAAACTAGAAATTCTGATCTGTGAGAGTTGGCCAAACTCATGCAGGCTGCTTATATCGTTCCAACCTTTTTAAAAAACTACCCAAGGCCCCCCAAGCTGTTTGTTATCACAGACTGCTCAACTCTCGTTCAATCTCTCTCTTAAAAGAAAGAAGGACAAAATACATCTCCTTAAAGCCACAATCTCATCACACAAAGCTTTATAGGTGTCAGGAGAAACTGAGAATGCTATTTTTAAAACAGAGTATGAGATCCTAGCCTTTAAAAGTACAGGCATAGAGTACAGTGCAAATAAGTCATGCTGAACATTTATAAGATAATGGTTAGGCTTCAGTTTGATGTATTATTTTGATTTTGCCACTTCATTTTAATATTTAAGAAGCCTTGGAAGGGGTACAGATGAGATTTACTTAAATATACCAGAGACAGTGTTTCATTTGTAGTGAGACGAGAGAAATTGGGTTGTGAGGTTGTTGACTTGTTAGCCAAGCTGGCTTGTTCTCGTTTGACGTTTTGTCACCATGCTAGTTGACGACATCAGTGGAGCATCCGATGGATGTTATTCTACACCGCTTGGAATTTATACTGTCTGGTCCGTTATGGTGAGTAGTGTTATTTCTGGTTTTGATCTGTATGGGTTTGTATATGGGATCCAATTCTATATGTTTGTTGATTGCATTATGGGTGGAGAACCATGCTTCTAGGAATTCCCGTGCGTGCCTAGGTTACACTTGGGTTACTATGGTTACCTTGTCCCAGTTAAACTGATGGCCTTCATTGTCTGAGTGTACCGACATTAAGGAAAGGTCGTTATGCCGTTTTGCTGCTAGTTGATGTTCGTGTATTCTGATGGCTAGTTTCTTTCCTGTCAGTCCGGTGTAATGTTTAATAGTAGAATAACATTGCTTCATCGGAGGTTCCACTGATGACATTACCTAGCATGGTGATGAAATGTCTGAACGAGAACAAGCCAGCTTGGCGAGCAAGTCAACAACCTCCCCCACAACCCGAGCTACAGATCTTTGCCAAAACTTAACTTGGGTTGTTTCAAGACACTTCAAAATCATGCAACATTTTTGATAGAGTACGTACAGAGAAACCGTTCCCAGTGACAGAAAGCTTTGGAGTATTTAGACTTAAGGTAATTTGTGAAAGAACCAGAGGTGATATGAAGACTTTTTTTTTTTTTAAATGTGCAGTGATTTGTTACGATCTGGAATATATTGACTGAAAGAGTGGTGAAACCAGACTCGGTCCCTTTTTTTTAGGGACATGGAAAGCACTTGAAAGGAAAATAATTTACAGAGCCCAACAGAGAAGAAGCAAGGAATTAATTTAATATTGTTCGAAGTGCCAGTATGTGGTCTCCTTTGTGTCATTCTATAATTGCAGGCTAAACAGGAGACCAAGAATCATAGCCAGTCTGACTCTCATTACTTAATCTTGATCGTTTGTATAACAGGATTGCAGGGAGCTGCATAGAATCATTTCAATCTATAACCCTTTCTTTGGGTAATTTTAAATCTTTCAACGTTTTACTCATACAATTTATCTCACATGAAAGACTGAACAGAACTATTTTGAGTGTAATCCTCCTTCATTTAAACTTTGGATTATATCAACTGATGTTGTTAGTGGAACAGAAGTATGTTGCATCATATTCAAAGTAAAATGGCAAGCCATGAACATACACCTGCCCAGTATGAAAGATTGTGAACAATTACATTACCTTGAATGCTAGGAGGTATCCTTCGCTTAGATCTATTTTCATTTCCCATGTAGAGTTTACTATATATTTCTTACATTGGTATAGGAAGCAGAATTTACAAACTCTCCTGAATTGAAAAGCTGTAACTTTAATAAGAACAAAGTGTTGTGATTGTATAGCATCTTTAACTTGATTTAAACATCCCTTGTGCTTTACAAGAATATAATCAAACAATATGTAATGCGGGACTGGTGACCAAAAACTTGACCCAAGCAAAGGTTTTAAGAAGTGCCTTTAAAGGAGGGTGGATAGGATTAACAAAATAATACAAAGGGCAGCACGGTGGCTCAGTGGTGAGCACTGCTGCCTCACAGCACCAGGGATCCGGATTCGATTCCATCCTCGGGCGACTATCTGTGTGGAGTTTGCACGTTCTCCCTGAGTCTGTGTGGGTTTCCTCTGGGTGCTCTGGTTTCCTCCCACAGTCCAAAGATGTGCATGCTGGGTGGATTGGCCATGCTAAATTGCCCGTAGTGTTCAGGGATGTGTAGATTAGGTGGGTTATAGGGTGATGGATCTGGGTGGGATGCTCTGAAGGTTGATGTGGACTTGTTGGGCTGAAGGGCCTGTTTCCACACTGTTGGGATTCTATGATTCTAAGTGTGGGATCAGACAAATGAATGGTCAATGGAAGATGGTAGAGCAGTGTAATACTGATACCTGAGGATTGTAGTGCTGGAAGAGATTACAGTTTGGCAGGTTGAGACCATAGAGCAGTTTGGAAATCAATTTATTGCTAATTCAGGAGCCAGTGTGGGTCTGCAGGTAAAGGGTGAAATGAAGAGCTGTGTAGTAGGGTATGGACAGCAGAATTTTGAATGAGATTTAGTTTGCAGAGGGTGATTGTTAACCATCTTTCATACTGGTTAACCTGTGTAGTCATAGTTTGTCATGTTACACTGAAAGTGGTGGAATATACTTGTGATCCCTCGACAACTTCAGTTGATTTTATTCAAAATTAAATGCTAAAGGATTGTTATTCTCCAAATAATTCTGCTCATCTTTCAACAATAAGGAGACAACAGGACTTGTTGATTCTGAGGACACGTGTCATTCTGATAAAGACGTATGTTTAAAGCTGATAAGTATTTTTTATTACTTGTATGGAATATATAAGAAATATTGCCTGAAACTATTAAATCTAATATCCTCCTTTCTCCACAACAGGTCCAGTTTACACTTTTGACAAGTCCAGCTCTTTTTGCATTTCTACAAATTGCCTCCTGCCTGACCCATATGAAAGTGAAAGGTTGTTTAAATTTATTCCCTCCATAAGCCAGCTTTTTTACTTTTACATAGGGAAATTACTAATTGTTGAAGAAAACACACTTTCCAATCGCGTCAGTGATATAGCTGTCAGTATGAAATAACTGCTCTGGTTGTGAAAATGGAAGTATAATGTATTCAAAAGATTAAAAAACCGCAAAGGAGGTACTTTAGATTCATTTTTGGTCTTGAACTGGAGCATGCACACCAACCAGGAGGGCGGGGGTTACAAGATGGACTTGAATTTGAGTCTCATTAACTTTGAGTGAGTCACTGATCATAGCATCAGCATCTGCAGCTCAGTCATTTTTATAAAGATCAGTGTCTAACCAGCTGTGGTCCAAACTAAGCCATGGGAGAATAAAATGGACAATAGGCTGATCCCAGACTGGAGTCCCTTGCAACTACTTGGAAACATTTGTGCTCCTCCTGGCTCTGCATCAAGCTTAAAATGGAACTTGCCTTTTCATCATTGGTCACTTACAAGAATGTGTCCATGCCTGGAAAGCCTGAACAGAACAGGCCTGATCTTTCCCTTGCTTAAGGCAGGCCAGATTTCTTAAGGTACCCTATCCAGGCATTTATCCCTTCCCTAGCAGTAGATGGAGTAGTGCAATGAAGTCTATTGCCTGTTTTAGACAGTCACCCTAAATGCCTTAACAACTCTGATCTTGGGATTGATGCCTCTTAAGTTGTCCCCATTGTCAGGATGTCTGTCTCTGAAACTGGCCATCATTGACTAACTTAAAAGATGGGCACAACAAAATACAGTATTTAACCCCAAACATTAGAAATACACATCAGCATCTGAAAAGAGAGTCAGATCTTCACTCAAGATTAACTAGTCTTTTTCTTTTCAGATGTAAATAGACACCCTGTACACTTTCAGCACTTTTTTGTCTTTATTTCAGAATTTGGATTTTCCCTGACTGTAGGCAGTTTTGTATCATTTTTTTTCAAATTTCTTTTGACTGTCTTTGAGATGTAATTTTTTAAAATAACAATTTGTATACTGCAAGTAATGGGTTAGCTTCACTCCAGTTCAATTTTTACATTGTGCTTAATGAGGAACTCAATCAGCTTCTTGCTAAACATGTTCAAATTCCAGACTGACATTTTGTGACAAATTAATTTTATCGCAACGTTTTGATCAATGATCTGGAATAACAGCCACTTTTTCTTGTTGGATTAATGATAGTTAATTATGATTTACTTTTTAATAAGTACTCAATATTTTAACACATTTGCAAATTCTAACAATTTGTATAAAAATTGTCTTCCAAAATGGTCTTGCTTGAAGCAGTAATAATCGTTAAAGGTGATTTAAGTTTATGAATTTGAGTGCATTCTGCAAAGAAAATGTCTTCGATCTCTCTTTGATTTGTCAGCATGAGCTGATGATTATTTTGTAAAGTGATTGAGGTAGATCTTCGTCTTCACCAGGACATTGAGCATTGCCTGGGCAGAATGCAAAAAGCAATATCAGGCAGGGAGGACTGCACACCTTTTTGGTACTTGTTGAACTTTCCTTCATTCATTTCAATGGATGGAAAATTGGACAGATTGTTACTGATATGAAATGATCCCTGACTGATTTTTCTGTCTTCACCCAAGTGATGCTTAAAGGCCAGGTAACGTTTTTAACGTGTGATGAATAAATGGAAACTGCTGGAAAAGCTCAGCAGGTCTGGCACCATCTGTGAAGAGAAATTTGGAGTTAACATTTTGGATATGATGACCCTTCGCACTGGATCCGAAACATTAAGGCTGATTTCTCTTCACATATGCTCAGACCTGCTGAGCCTTTCCAGCAATTTCTGTTTTTGTTTGATTTATAGCACCTGCAGTTCTTCTGGTTTTTATGATGAATAAATGGACAAGGCATAACACAATGCTACTTTCAGCAACATTTCATGGATCAGAAATATTGGATTCATTTGTTAATTACTATTCCATAACTTCAGTACTTCCAGCTAACAAGGTAGTTGGGAGAAACATGCAAATTCCCATTAATTGGTAAAGACACAAGGCATAGAATGTAAACTGTCTTCTGAATTGAAACAATAAGCAATGTTGAGGTAAAATGAGAAATGATTAGTTGATGCCAAATTATTGTGGCCACAATGGTGGTGGTTCACTTTCTGTGATCATGTTGAAGGGGCGATTATCTATTATAACACCCTAACAGCATTCATGGGTAGTGAAACCAATGTAGCACCTAACATTGTTGACCTGGTGTATATGAAATCAACCTATAAAATCGCCAATAAAAACCGAAAGAAATCTGGATGCTGTAAATCGGAGACAAAAATAGAAAGTGGATACTATGAACTGGAGAGAAAATGTTTTCATCAAATTCATTGGTAAGTGTAACTTTGGGGTATTGAAGTCAGGAGAAGTGGATGTTCTCTACGTCTTGATGAACAGTATTTCAGCAAAGGAAGAGATCCCAATATTGAAGTTTAAGATGAGGTAACATGGCTATGCTTTTGTCAGAACTCTCCCTTGTCTGCCAACCTTTCCAGATAGCGTTGGTTGGAAAGGCAAGGTCTCTAGCAAAGTTAGTTATATTTCTTATCCATTTGTAAAAATAAATTGGTCAAGATCGACAAGCTAACTGCTTTTCATCGTACAAAGCAAATGCCTAGCTCACCTTTCAATATATTGCAGCAATAGCATGTTTGATCCAAGGACACGTATAAATGTTGTTTCTTATTTCTCCTAAATTAGGGTATATGTTACTGAATCTCTTATCCCACATGCTGGGGAAGGTCTGTATGCAAAAGTAGCAGCAGGACCTGACACAGTCATGGCTTTCTACAATGGAATACGGTTAACACATGAAGAGGTGAGATCCACAATTCCAAAGTAAAATTTATTGGTCAGAGACTGCAGACAAGTCAGGTTGTTTGAAAGAAAATCATTTGGATGTATTTTCTTTCCAGGTAGATTCTAGAGATTGGTCGCTCAATGGGAGCACTATATCATTGGATGGCGATACCGTGCTTGATGTTCCTGAACCTTACAACAGTACAGAACACTACTGTGCCACATTGGGGCACAAAGCAAATCACTCCTTTACTCCCAATTGCAGTTATGCCACGTAAGTTTGTTTTTGTTACAGGGGTAGTACTTTTGAAAGTCAGGGAAGTTGGTTGGATTCTTTTTTTTTTCTTGACTGAGATGGCCAGTGCTAACACGTATGTTATGAAAATGTCATCTACTTGTCAACCAAATTCTCAAACTAATGCATTTTGCCAAAGACCACAAGTACAGAATTTTAGAAATCTGTCCTCCATTCTTGGGTGAATGAGTGAGGTCGGAGTGAAAGGTTTAGGGTCATAATTTCTTGTGCATGATCATCCCTAACTTCTAGCTGGGCAGAGCATACCTTACAAGAACCCTGGGTAACCTGCTCATTCAGATAGGGGTCCTAATGATGATGGCAGATATCTTATTCAAATTGGTCGCTGACTGGAGCCATTCATCCTCCCTCCAGTTGTTTCATGCCTTTGGTCTTACCAGTGGTCCATTAAGGAGACTGTTAATAAACATGCACAAAAATATATGGAAGATTTTGGCAAAGACTTCTCTTGGCTCCACAGATGTACTGCTGGCCCAGGACCATGTGCACCACTCTTTGCCTCCCCAAGGTCTATCTTCAGACCTGCTTGGATTGTGAGATGGTTAATACCTCCCAGGGCCTGATGAGCCTTCACTGGATTAGGCCTTGGGCTGACATTGTCAAATGTGCAATGCAACCCCAGTGCCTATTCCATGCTGGGAGCCAGTACCACAGAAATTTCTCCCCTTCTTATGTAGGACAAAGAGCACCAGCTTCTCAGTTTCACAAATTACCTTCAAAAGGTGAATCATTGTTTACTGAGTTCAGGCTCTAGAGAAGGTGGGAACACAATAAATTAGAAGGTGTTGACATCAACAGAAAATAATGAAACAGTAGTCATTTCTTTTATGTTTTTAAAATAGAACTTAATGTAAGGTGCTGCCAGGTGTAGATTCATACAGCACAGAAAAGGCTCTTTTGAGCCATCATGTCTGCATCGACATAACTACCATTAAAGGTGTACTAATTCCACTTTCCTGAACTTGTCCCATATCCTTGAATGTTATGATGTTTCAAGGGCTTATCCAAATTTTTTTTAAAGGTTGTAAGGTTTCTGGCCTCTGCCACAAAAGGTAGTGATGCATTCTAGATTCCCACCATGGGCTGAGTGAAAAGGTTTTTTCTGAAATGCCCTCTGAATCTCCTGCCCCTTAAACCTAAAACGATGCCCCCTTGTGATTTCCCACTCGGGGAACAGGTGCTCCCTACTCACCCCATCCATGCCCCTCATATTCTTACATCTCAGTCACAACCCCTCACCCTTCTTTGCTCTAAAGAAAACAATCCAAGCCTATGCAGTCTCGCCTTGCAGCTCATTTGCTCCATCCCAGGCAACACTCTCTGGTCAATGTCCCCTGTACCCCTTCTAGTGCTGTCACATCCTTCCTGTAGTGAGGTGACCAGAACTGCATACAGTACTCCAGCTGTGGCCAACACACTCTACAACTCCAACATTACCTCCTTGCTGTTATACTTTATGCCATGACTGATGAAGCAAGCATCCCATATGCTGCCTTAACTATTCTATTCATGTGCTCAGCCGACTTCAGGGATCTGTGAATAATTATCCCATGATCCCTCTTCTTCTAGGCTACTCTTGTGTTCTACCATTCATTAAATACTCCCTCATCTTGTTTCTTCTTCCAAAGTGCATTACCTTACACTTATCAGGGTTAAATACAATCTGCCACTGCTCTGCCTATCTGACCAAATCGTCTATATCTTCCAGTAACCTACAACCATCTTCTTCACTTAACTACCCCACCAATCTTGGTGCCATCTGCACCCCAACCACATTTTCATTTATATCATTTAAGTATATAGCAAACAAAAAGGATACCAGTACTGATTGTGAAAAGAAAACAAGAACATTGAGAACGCCAAATTTAAAAGTCTCAACACAATTTTAAATCTGTTAATTCTCACTTGAATAGTGTACACTTAGCTGATGTATGTTGCTTGTGCATCTTCCTGGCGTTTGGCATTGATGCTGCAATTCTGATGCTATGAAAGACAGCATCTGATTCTTACTTTCCTTTCAATGCTATTGGCCTGGAAAGAGAAATCATGGTTTAACATACAGCATACTTGAATTCAACAATTTTTTAAAATTATTTTTTGGCATATCTTTGAAACGTTTTCTGTCAAGGTTTATTCATCCTCGGTTTGGACATATTAAAAGCATCCGCACCATCCAGGCAGTACAGAAAGATGAAGAACTTACAGTTGCTTATGGATACGATCACTATTCTGCAGGCAAGGGTGGTCCAGAAGCTCCTGATTGGTACAAGCTTGAACTGCAGGCCTTCCAACATGTTCAACAGAAATGAAAGTTATTCAGCTTTCGCTTTAAGCAGGTAGCAAAAGCAGAAGAAGCTATGCACTAAAGCTACGTGGAACTGCCAGATCATGATCTTTAAAATGCTCTGTTCTAAAAATTATCATTTACCTTGTATATAAAATATTCAAGGTTAAATTTATTTGCAAAATACAATATATAAGACACTTGAACAAGTAGATATACATTTGTATTAGCATATGGAAGTTTATGTAGCAGTAAACACTATTAACCTATTAATTGTATGGTGTAGCTTGTCCTACCCAGCTGTTTTAACATGCGCTTTCTAAAGTGGCTCATGGACTGCTACTTACTCATCAGCCGTTTTTATTGTTTCAAATCAACATAATCTGTTCTACTGTTTAGGCAAGTCTAACTCTACACATACTGTTTATGGGTTTATAGTGTTCACCCCCTAAATGTTCAGATACTACTAATTACAGCTGTTTCGTTTCTAGCTGATTTGATTATGACTATTGATCATTAAGTTAGCATCATCTGGTGTTGTAACTGGGTTTCAGTGAAAGTTAATACAGGCTAGTTGTAACTTTTTGTACCCTGTCCACTTTAATTGCAAATAACACTTAGCACAATTCGATAGATTTTGTCCTCTGAAATTGTGTTTGAAGAAAGCATTTTAAGTTGCATATCAGTATCACTAGGATGAAGTACTGTTATTTATAGATTTTGCAGATAGCTAAATGATAATTTTAAGCATTTGTTCAATAATGTTCATGTGCATTAGTTGGCATTTATCATCCTGTGTCATTTGCAAGGTATTTAATATTAGTATATTAAATACAGCAATTGATGACAATGTTGTGCTGTAGTCTTTAGATTCAACAGCTTGACTCATGCTGATTGGCATGACCTTCTTGATAAGATGCAAGATATCAACCTTACATTTTCTGTAGTTTGTTTCACAACACTGAGTAAACAAAGCCAGCAACTGAAGAGATTCAGCATAATCCAAATAGAACATTCTTGTGTTAATGTGACAACATTGTTTCAAGGAACATTTAACCATGCTTCAGGTATAGAGCTATAACCATGGCCTCACGCAAGCATTTTTCTCCTAAAGAACAGTAGCACAAATCTAAAATTCTGTGTTTCAGTACAATGTTTTTTTTCTTTCTTGAAAGCTTGACTAGTTAAACTCTGCATTTTGTAACTGGCGGTTGCAGCCTTATTAAATTACATAGTTTTGCTAATGTAACTGAAAAACAAAGCTTAAGTGGTGAGAGTATGAGAGATTGGAGTGGTTCCAAAAGTTTACAGATTCCCCCCTAGTCTTCTGATTTGTGTGTTTCTTCTTTCAGTGTGTTAAACGAAAGTGTGTGCATTTTTATAAGAATGTCTGGGTGAGCATGAGATCTGTTTTGGTTGATAGGAGTGGGAAAACATTTATAATATGTTTTGATTTTGACAAAATGAATTATGTTGTAACCAATATGAAGCTGATAACTTGGTACAGGTCAAGAAAATTTGTTTTCAAATGGTGATTTAAACAAAAATGTGGTAAACTGTGAATAAATGGATTTTTTACCATAAAGACAGAAATATGTGGAGAAGAACAAATCATGGCTCTAATTGATTTTTTTAAAAAATGTATGTCATTATTTCAGTGCATGGTTTGTTTTCAAATATGAAATATGTTCAGTTAGAGTCTCAACTTTTCGTCATTCTTTTGCTTCAGATCAGACTCATTTGACGGAGGGTGGGTTACTGTATTTCAGAATAAAAGTAATGGATATTTTGATCATTTTACAGCATTGTAGTGCTGTATCCATCACTAATGGCATTTGTGGACTTGTCAACATATTAAACAGCAAAACCTGGTGCAGAAGTTCTGCATTGCTGAGTGAATTCATATTACAGCAGTAGGTTGTCAGTGGTAATAAATGCTCCAAGCTTACAACTGACTGGATTGTTCACTATTTTCATTGTGTAAGACTTTGATCCTGTGATCTGCTTTATAATTAAGTTTCAAGGTGGATTATCAGCTATTAAATATATAGTTAAGATATTTAATTGTCATTGGTTATAGGAACCATGTGGTTTACTACTGAGCTGTACGTGCCGACAAGGATCAGAGTTCACTCTTGGTTCTGTGCATAGTTAATTGATCTCTGATTTAGCCAAAGTGGCAGCAGCACAGATAATTTGTGTCTCTGACCTGAAGAGAGAGGAAAATGTACTATAGTACCCAATATCCTATTTTCAAGATTAGGCAAAGTGGGCTTTTAAGTTTACTTTTTACTTTTTATTTTCAAGTACGCTGCTGACATATACAGCTTGGCTAGCAAGTAGGAATAACCATTTGGGTGACAAGAAAATTGTCATTGTCCATGCAGGGCTACCAATCATACTTCAGTACCTTCAGTGAAGGAAGGAGTGAATTTGAGGATGGCGCACACCTCTGGATATAGAATTGTTCTGATTTCCTCACCATGATACTTCAAACTCAATTGTGACATTATATACAGGGACCAAGTGAGACATGTATGCTTCATCAGCAGTGAGATCAGAAGCCATATAAGTGAAGAAAATGGCATTGTCCATCTCACTTTACACTACTAACTTGAATATTTGACTGTCCTATGGCTAGACATCAGCTGTAGTATTGTGCGTAACTCTAGACAACACACGTGAATTTTCAGCCTGGAAAGAGTACAGAGGAAGTTTACCAAGGATATGAAACTTTAGTTATGTGGAGAGATTGGAGAAGCAGGATTGTTTTCCTTTGAGCATAGAAGGTTTACAAGACTTAAAAGATATTCAAAATGATTTCACTTCAGGGATGGTTTTTAAAAAAAAAAAAAGTAAGGAGAAACTATTTCTTGGGCAAATTAGCTGGTAAATCATTGTCAAACGAATTAGAAAAGAAGAGAAATTGTTTCATGCAGGGAGTTATGATACTGTGAAGGACACTAACTGAAAGGGTGATGGAACTGGATTTCATAGAAACTATCAAAAGGTAATTGGACATGTATTTTAAGATAACTTATTTGAAGGGCTTGGTTGTGGTAAGCTGGAGAAAGAGAGCAACTTGAAAAGCTCTTTCAAAGAGCTTTGACAGGCTAAATGGTCTAAGATTCTAATGAATAAAAACCTCTTCCAGCGAGTAATTTGAGAGAACTGGTACAGGGCCGAGGGAAATAATAATTTGATTGGATGATGAGCAATGCTTGTCAACTACAAGGAACAGATTATAAAATACAAAACATTTTGGAGGTCAGGCAGTATTTGTGGAAAGAACCAGTGAATGTTTCTGAACTGAACAATAATAACTATTGGACTTCACAGATAAGTGGGTTGCTATTTTGAAAAAAAAGCCTTGTTGTGCCCACTATTAGAAGTGAACAAGAAACAGGGCACAAGGTGGTTGCACTTCTTCAGGCAGCCTGTGACAAATCTTTTCAGGCAAGTTTTTGCACACTACCATAAACAGCTATGAAAACAAATAGATAACCATTTGTAGATGTCTATTTGAAGAATAATTGCCAGCCAAGCTAACAATAGAATACTTCTCTAAAATATACTGTAATATCTTGTAATTTCAGGCCACCTGAAAGGAAGATTGGGCCTTAGTTTGCTGGCTCTTACAAGTATGTAACATTGCCTCAGTGGCAACTAAATTTATGTACTCAGGTCTACAGAACAAAAAACTGTTCCTACTACCTAATATGCTGTACACCTTAGAATAAAGCAGCTGCATACACCAGTAACAAGCTATTCTTGTACACTTTTAATATGACTGGCAACTTGTCGTAAAATACTGCATTATGAAATGTTACACCTTTACGCCCACTACGAGCAAGGTTATGTTTCATCTCAGGAACAATTTTAACTGTAGCTTCTACAAGTGAAAACATAGGCTTAGGTTTTTTTTTGCTGTAATGGGGAGTCTCTGCCATGAGAAAAACGGCAACAAGTCTGGAAATTGGACATACCACCCACTTTCCATAGTTGTGGGAGCAGGAATAGTTGTAGGTTGGAACTTGCACAGGTGGTTGATGGAGGCAGCTGACCATCAAAACTATCAGCAATAGTGGCTGACTTCATAACTATCAATTATCAACGGGTGTTCACTGTTTCAGTTTAGTGTGATAGGTACAGGTGATTATGGACTCTGACGTATTATGAATTCCATTGCTTGTTGTGGATGAGATTGAAATAATAGAGGGCTTTTAGATGAAAGGAATATAAATGCAGTTTGAGATTTTTCTAACTAATATCTGCAATAGATGTTTATAACATTGCTAAGAATAATAATGTTCTAACTTATATGATTACTGAGGTCTTCCTGTTGGTGGATAAGCTGTGTAAGGGCAAATAATGGTGAGTGTGTATGAGTTGGTACAGGGTCTATAAAGGACTATTGAGGTGGGCATACATCTTGGAATAGAAGCTATAAGGAATAGAGGTATGAAGGACTATGGGGTTGGATGTGAGGGAGCGAGAGGGCTGTTTCACATTTTATTCATTAATTCAAAAGTTTAAACACAGTACTTGATCCCCAAGCCAGGCCCTTCTGCTCAACCAGCCCACCTCTGCAATTGGTATCCTCTTTTTCCGGTCACTCGCACCCTCTCTTCTAACCAAGCCTGGTGTAAACCCTAAGCCCCAGCTGAAAATTATATATTCAGCCAGATGTTTTAAAGGTCAGGTTCACAGAGCTGGTTATCCTACTATCTTTGCACCTGAATCAGGAATGAACATTCTGGCCACAGCATTCCAGTGTATGCAATGTGGTGAGCATTCCATCACCAGGAAAGATAGATTAATTTTCAATCTGAAATCAATGCTGAGGAAATTTAGATATTTCAAGTGAAATAGATGGCAGTAATGACGGTGTCCTGATTCATCTAAAAGTGCACTTAGTTGTGTTTGGCACTTGCTCAATATACATAAAATCACAGAATCCCTACAGTGTGGAAGCAAGCTACTTGGCCCCTTGAGGCCTTACTGAACACCTGAAGAGCATCTCAACCAGACCCCATTACCATTTCCCCACCTAGCCTGCACATTCCTGGATACTATGAGCAATTTAGCATGGCCAATCCAGCTAACCTGCACTTAGAGTCATAGATATGCAGTACAGAAACAGAGCCTTCAGCCCAACTTGTCCCATTTACCAGCATTCGGCCCACATCCATCTAAGCCCTGCCTACTCATATGCCCCTCCAGATGTATTAAATATTGTATTTGTACCAGCCTCCTCCTCTTCCTCTGGCAGCTCATTCCATACTTGCACCACCCTCTGCGTGAAAAAGTTTCCCCTTGGGTCCCTTTTTAAATCTTTTCCCCTCACCCTCTAGACTGGACTCCCCCACCCCACATACGCTGGGGGAAAGACCTTGTCCATTTCCCCTAACCCTGCTCCTCATGATTTTATAAATCTCTATAAGGTCACCGCTTGCCCCTCCGACGCTCCAGGGAAAATAGGTCCAGTCTATTCAGCCTGTCCCTATAGCCAACCCTCCAACCCTGGCAACATCCTTGTACTCTTTTCTGAACCCTCAAGTTTCACAACGTCCTTGGGAGACCAAAATTGCACGCAGTATTCCAATGGTGGCCTAACTAATGTCCCGTACAGCCGCAACATGACCTCCCAACTCCAATGCTCAATGCACTGACCAATAAAGGCAAGCGTACTAAACACTGCCTTCACTATTCTACCTACCTGTGACTCTACTTTCAAGGAACTATGAACCTGCAGTCCAAGTTCATCAACACTCCCCAGGATCTTAACGTTAAGTGTATAAGTCCTGCCCTGATTTGTCTTTCCAAAGTGCAGCACCTCACATTTATCTAAAGTGAACTCTATCTGCCACTCCTCAGCCCATTGGCCCATCTGATCAAGACCCTATTGTACTCTGGGGTAACCTTCTTCGCTGTCCACTACACCTCCAATTTTGGTGTAATCTGCAAACTTACTAACCATACCTCCTATGTTCACATTGAAATTGTTTATATAAATGACGAAAAGTAGTGGACCCAGCAATGACCCTTGCGGCAAACTGCTGGTCACGGGCCTCCAGTCTGAAAAGCAACCCTCCACCACCAGCCTCTTGTCTTCTACCTTCGAGCCAGTTCTGTATCCAGATGGCTAGTTCTCCCTCTTTGGACTGTGGGAGGCAACCAGAGCACCCGGAGGAAACCCATGCGGACACGGGGAGAATGTGAAAACACAGTCACCCATGGCTAGGATTGAACCTGGCTCCTTGGTGCTGTGAGGCAGCAGGGTTAATCACTGAGCCATTGTGATACCCTACCTAAGTAAATACAAGTACAAAGTGAATGTGAAACAGAAAATCCAATGTAATAGCAGCATAATTGAGAAATAGACTTTATCATTCCATCAATTCTTTATTACTGAACAAGCAAAAAATTACGTATCCTCCAAACTGTTTTTTTTCCGATATACTGTATGACTCACTGAAATAACGTCTTCACTAATTTCCAAAGGGAAGTAAATAACCAGTGATAAAGTTTTGTGGAATATCTGTATGCCAGCTATTGTAATTTGATGAATCACTAACATCAATCTACATGATTGAAAATTATATGGTTAGAATAAATGTTCTTACTCATATTTGTCTTCATATATTAGAAAAAGTAGTTCTTTAAATCTCAGTCATGCCAATCTTTTCTGGAATTCCTTCCATCAGGTTTTCACCTTTTGAGACCTGTTTTGCAATTGTGACAAAATTACATCCTTTGGAAATGTGACAAAGGTGATACATCTTTAGCCTTCGTGACATGTCTGTAGACTTTGTTTGACCACACCATCCTCTTTCGATGTCTTTCCACTATTGTCCAGCTGGGTGGGACTACACCCTCATGGTTACTTTCTGGTTTATTCAGTCACAGCTGGAGGATCACCTTCAGAGGGTTCTTTTCCAATACCTGAACTGTTGCCTCTGGAATCCCCCCAAGGATCTATGCTTGGCTTCCCTCCTATTTCCCAATTATAGTTATTTTAATCAACCTGTTTAGACATGTTATGAAACTCGTTTGGGACAGTTAGGACTTGAACCCAAGGTAGACAAACAGGAGCTGGAAGAACACAGCAGCTGGAAGAACACAGCAGGCTAGGCAGCATCTGAAGGAAAGGAGCAGTCAATGTTTTGGGTATTACCCTTCAGGACTGGATGTGGGGTAGAGGGAGCTGCAGATAAAGTTGGGGGGTGGGAAATGTTGGTGATAGGTGGACACTGGTGTAGGTACGACCCGGTTGGTTGAGACACTATGGTAGATGAACCCAGACCACCTGGCCCAAAAATGGCAACACTGTCACTGTGCCTGAAGATTGTTATTTCCCATTTATAGTCTGGGCCTCTGATGTTGTTGAAAACAGTTATTTCTACAGCTATGCTGGCAACATTGTTTCTTAATTTTCTTGCTGTCTGGCACTTAAGAAATTTCCTCCAACAAAATATTGGCAATTTCAAAGCCATTTACTTTAGTTACCAGTTCTTTTAGCAGTGGCTTAATTAGTCTTTCAGGAAACTCTTTTAGATTGAACCTGTTTTGTACCTTGGGATCACATTTGACTCCATTATCAGCTTCTGACCACATATCCATACCATCGCTGAACTTGCCCATTGCCACATCTTAAGCATGGCTTTACCTCATCTCAGCTCATCTGCAGCTGAATCCTTATCATACGTTTTGTGATATCAAAATCATTGATTCCTGGCCTCCTGCACTGTAACCTCTGTAGACTCTTCCAAAACTTTGTTCATATTATAAATCTCACAGAACCATTCACTCATCGTTGCTACCTTCCTGACTTATTCTCTCTATTTTAAAATTCTCTTCCTCCTCTTCTAAATGTTGCATGGCATTGCTCCTTCATACCTCTGTGATCTTCCAAATGGTGGCACCCTGAATGTCCCCAGTTTTAATTGTTTCCATCATTGACAGCTATGCTATGGGTTAACTAGTTCTTAAACACAAGAACTGGCTTGCTAAATCTCTTTACCTTTCTTTCACCGTTTAAGATACTCTACTACGTACTTAAATGTCTCACTTGGGGCACATTGGATTTTTGTACTATGCCGAAATGTCATATAAAATCAAGTTGGTGTTGGTTAAGACTTACATTTATTTTGATAGCAACACTTGTGTTAACATGAATTCCTGAAGAAGATTATTGACAACTACTATAAAAGAGATGATTCAAAGAAGCTTAAATGTTGAACTGAATAAAAACCTGCAAAGGTATGGCCTTTATATTTCTTCTTTGGAATAAAAATAAAATTTAAAAGCTAAATTGCTAAAACTGCCAAATTAAGTTTTGACTCACCATGATAATGAAACAGTCTTCTGCAATAAACAATTTACTATTATGATTTTTTGCTTTTAATCAAGGAAATAATGTTGCTGTCATCTAGTAGTCATGAAATGAGCATCTTTTTGATGGAAGTGTGATACTCAACAGCAACTTTATATTTATATGTCACATGTATACCAAGGCATTTCATAGGAGTGTTATAAAGCCACTTAGTAACATCAGGGCAGATAGTCAAACATTTGCTCATGGGTTAGTTTTGAGGAGCATCTCAAGGTTAGTAAGATAGTTTAAGAATGTGGAGAGGTTTAGGGTTGAAGCAGCTGAAAGCATAACCACTAATTGTGACTGCCTTAACATCTAAAACCTCAGGTTGAAACTAGAGGAGTGCATATATAAATCAGAGGATATAGGCTGAGGGTAATACAAATAGGGAAAGGCAGAAGCATGAGGAATTTGAAAATAACAATAGGTAATTTAAAATTAAGGTATTCCTTGGCCTGGACCAAGTGCACCTGGGTGGTTGAGTGAGGCTGAGAAGGAACTCATTGTCTTAAGGTCATTGGAAACGTAACATTAGATGAAATCAAATTTATAACTGGTAGATTGTAATTTAAAAGTCTAGAGGAAACAAATGTATATTTGAGTGTTTTAGTGGAAGAGATTTGGGTGGTCATCCTTCTACTTGAATAGAAGAAATTTTGCTTTATGTAGTGCTGGGCCAACCCCAGATTCTGATAGTCTTTGATGCCCAAAACTTAAGATTTAAAACAGCCTTAAAATCTTAATGGCTGTGAGATGGACGGGCAAAAATTTGAGGCTGTGCTTCACAAGTACAGTTTTCAACATTGGCAGAAAAATGGAGGGCCTCATTATCCTTCCAGTGAATATATCCAGTAAATGGGCTCTGGATGAGGAAGAGGGGAGGCCTACACGGAAGGAAGGTGACTCCACCCAGGAATGGTATTTCATACAAAAAAAAGGGAAAATAATTCATTAACTTTTAAAGAAAATACAAAACTGTTACAATTACTTCTGCAAGCGTTAGTTTGGAAGACTCAGCCTTGCATAAACGGTGTGATTCTAGACAAATTAGTTCAGTGCAAATCTTACTGTATAAACCAGAGGCACAGATAACTGGGACAAAGAGACGAGTACACTTATTTTCAAGATTCAGAGTGAACTGCTGCATCAAACGCTTGTCTCCTCCGCGGAAAATAAAAGAGAAATGTAACAAACAAATCCGAGAAATTAAAAAGTGAGAACAGTACAAAGGTCACACGGTTGCTTTTGTAGCTGTGCCCAGGAGTGGGTTGGACGGGGTTAACGAGTGAGGTGTTCCTGCTGAGCTGGTTACACCTGTGAACACAGCAGGACCTGAATCATGGAGTCCGCAGAGCTTACTTGCCGAGGGAGACATTCACAGGCACCGTAAAGGAGGACGGGGGAAGGGAAGTTTCTTGGGCTTTCCTCCAAGTGGAACAGCGACAACAACAAAAAAAATCCTTGATGAAATTTCGAAGGAAGTAAATATTGTTTCAAGTCTGGTAACTAAGCCGATCGAGCATTCGCTGTGTGGTACTTGCGTTTGTTTTTTGGACACATGGTGGTGAAGGTAATGGTTTCCGCCCAGTGTGGTGGTGGGTTGGAAATCGGATCTCGATATTTGAAAGAGAATTTCTTTTGTTCCTGCTATGTGTGTGTGCGCGCCCTTTGGGAGAAGGAAATGCGCGCCTTCCCGGGTGAAAATTCCACAATTGCCGCCAGCTGGAAACTGGTTAAACAAGGTGGGGGGTACACTGGACATTTATACAACGTGGAAACTGAGCCTTCGCTCCAACAGTCCACAATCCCAAACTAAACTAGTCCCACCTGCCTGCTGATATTACTCCAAACCTTTCCCATTCATGAACTTTTCCAAATGTCTTTTAAACGTTGTAACTGTACCTGCATCCATCACTTCCTCTGGCAGTTCATTCCACGCAATAAACATCTTTTTGTATTTAAAAGAAAAGCTCCCCCTCACATCCTTCTCATCTCACCTTTTAAAAAAATATATCCCCTAGTTTTGAACCACCCCCTAAGGGAAAAGAACTTTGCTCTTCACCTTATCTATACGTCTCATGATTTTATAAATCTCTAAGGTCACCTCTCAACCAGTGGAAAAAGTCCCAGCTTATCCAGCTTATTTGTATAACTCAAACCGTCCGTTCCTGGCAACGTCCTGGTAAATATTTTCTGAACCCTTTCCAGTTTAATAATATCCCTCCTATAACAGGGCAACCAGAACTACACACACAACTGCAGAAGAATTCTCACCAGCATCCTAAATAAGCACAACATGACGTCCCAGCTCCTATACTCAAAAGTGTGAGCATTGAAGACAAGTGTACCAAATGTTTTCTTAACCACCCTGTCTATCTGTGACACAAATTTCAAAGAATTATGTACCTGAAACCCTGTTCTGTCTGTTCTACAATACTACCCAAGGCTTTGCGTTAATTGTATAAGTCCTGCCCTTTGTGTTACCAAAATGCAGTATCTCGCAGTTAGAGTCATAGTCATACAGCCTGGAAACAGTCCCTTCGATCTAACTCGGCTGTTCCAGCCAGATATCCTAAATGAATCTAGGCCTGTTTGTCAGCATTTGGCCCATATCCCTTTAAATCCTTCCTATTCATGTTATCCAAATTAAACTCCACCTACCAGTCCTCAGCCTATTGATGCAATTGATCCAGATCTCTTTGTAATCTTATAGGAATAAGTGGTTTGTTAAATTTGTTACTTGTGTGGAAAACTGAGGGGGAGCTTGTTCATGAGGCTGCTGAATGCAATTTGGTGTCTGACTGGAGGAGAATGAATAACTGAGTTATAAACCCCTTTCCCCCCCCCCCCCCCCAACCTTTCATTTACATTTAGGAATCTAATAGGACCTGGGTGGATCTAATAATATTGATCTTTCTTGGGGCAATCAGTAGTAAATAGGCAAATGATGCATATTTATAGTATACACGTTTGAAGTTTTGTAGCTTACCAAATAGTTTAGAAATTCAAAATGCGATGTAACTCCGCAATTCATGTGTTTGTTTACCTTCATCTTTTTAGCAACAGATCAAATATTTTAAAATTACAAAACATTAAGGATTTACATATCAATCTTTTTCATCCTATGGCAATATTTGAGAATGACTTGTCCAGAATTCCCACCCTTAACCAATACAAACGGGGGGAGAAAATGCCAACTTTTATGTTCGCTAGTGGGACGTGGGAGATGTTGGCTTTAGGTTACATAAGCCAGTACACCCTCAAAGTACTTTAGCTTGAGAAGTACTTTGAGGTGCCTAGATAATAAAGCTCTTTTTTAATCCAAACCAATGACGTTGTTTAAATTGTATGTTAACATTGTTGAAAATTTAGGTTCTCAGTGTCTCAAAAGTCTAATTGTGAATCAGTACAATGGGTTAATTTGGAAATGCTGTATCTTTACACCAGAATGGCCTATGCATGCAGCCTGTTTGTAAAACTTTTTTTAATATTATCTCGTGTGTTTTACTGCACCATGCACAGAGCATGAGAATATAGCATGCAAGTAAATGTCTTGACATAACATCTCATCTGTCTCCTAACAATGCTGCTAATGCCAATAGAGACAATGAGCTCAAATCTAAAGCGAGGCTTAAACATACAACCTGGGGAGGTTTGGAAGGGGAGGAAAAATGGAAGTTGGACAGTGAACAAGAAGAAACTTTTAAAGTGTTCAAAAAGGTTACATAGTTTTTACTGTTCTGCTCAGCACATTTATCTAAAAATCTTTAAACGTTCAGGAAGAAATAACCAAAAGAACTGCGGATGCTGGAAACCAGAAACAAAAACAGAAAGTGCTGGCAAAACTCAGCAGGTCTGGCAGCATTTGTGGAGAGAAATCAGAGTTAACATTTTAGTTAACACATCCTGTGACCCTTTTTCAAAACACTTCAGTTCTGAAGAAAGATCACTGAATCTCAGACATTAACCCCAAACATTAACTCAGCTTTCTCTTCACTGATGCAGCCAGACCTCCTGAGTTTTGCTAGCGATTTCTCTTTCCCTTTGTGTTTAAAGGTTGAGGAGTCGGTCTTTCAGGAAGTTTCTGCAGCACTAACATGTCTGAAAATATATTAAGTCATTGATTTATAAGGATGTCTTTCCTTCCTAAGTTCAATTACAGTTCTTACAAATAATATTGTTCATTACAATTGAAATTAGAATATGGAAATGGGAGCAGGAGTAAGCTGTATAGCTTCTCAGAACTGCTTTGCCATGTGACTTGGCCTTGGTCTCAATTCCACTTTCCGGACTCCTCATTAGTTCAGAACTCTCTGGTTCAGACTTGAAATTATTCACTGACTTGTCGAGGGAGACGTTCAGAGTCACCGTAAAGAAGAATGGGGGAAGGGAAGCTTCTTGGGCTTTCTCCAAGTGGGACAGCGACTTTTATTTGGGAAGAAGGAACAACAAAAAAAAACTTGATGAAATTTCGAAGAATGTAAATATTGTTTCAAGTCTGGTAACTAAGCCGATCGAACATTCGCTGTGTGGTACTTGCGTTTGTTTTTTGGACAACGTCTCAGCCTCCACACTTCCCTGAGGAAGAGAATTCCAAAGATTTGCAACCGTCTAAGATTAAAAATTCCATGTGTGTTCTAACCTAAATAGATTATTCCTTATTTTAAAACTAGCCCTTTCTGTGTTCTTCAATAAGGCGAGATATCCTCTGAGCATCTTCCCTATCAAGTCTCTTCAGAACCTGATATGTTTCAAGAAGGTCACATCTCACTCTCAAAACTCCCAAGAGATTAAGTCCAACATGCCCAGTCATTCCTCATAAGACATGACCTTTGTCCCAGGAATCAACCTTGTGGACCTTCTATGAACTACCTCTAAAACAAGTGTGTAAATAAGAATACTAACGTTATATGCAATGATCTCCCCAATGTCCTGTACAATTGTAGTGAGACTTTCCTACTTTTATACTCCAGCCCTGTTGCAATAAAGGGCAACATTCCATATGCTTTTGTTGTGCAATTTGCACTTCATGTCAGAAGATTCCACTGTACTGCAGCATTTGGTAGACTCTATTCAAATAGTATTTTGATTTGCCTTGCAGCATCTGCCAAATTTTTGCCCACCATTTAAACTATCTATATCCATTTGCACCCTGTGATCTCCGCAGAACATACTTTCCCGTATTTTATGTCAGCAAATTTGGCTACAGTGTACTTACTTCCTGCATCTAAGTATATATTGCTAATAGTTGAGACCACGGCACAGATACCTGTTACACCCCACTAATTAGTGTTTGCCAACCTGCAAATGACCCATTTATCCTGATTGTTATCTCTGTTAGTTAGCCAATTATGTATCCATATTGTTTTTGTTATATTATCCTTAACGCTATATAATTTCTTGAGAACAAATAATAATATAGGACGAGCAGCAGGAGGTCTCAACTCCAGATTCCTGTCTGCCCTCTGTAACCCTCATCTATCAAAAATCTACCTAACTTGACCACTTTGTGTAGTAACCTAATTTGTGGTACCTTATCGATTTACCTTTTGGCAGTATTGAACAGAATTCTGTAATTGTGACTGTTATTGAAGATATCATTTCACAATTCCTTGAGTTAAAAATTGGTAGTTTTGCTTAGGTGATCCCTTGGCAACCCAAATGTGCAGAATTCCTATGAAATGCAGCAGTGATGACCTGCATGGGATGTTAATTTTTTTGTTGTATTATTTTTCGTTCACTGAGATAAATAAACATTATATTGCATTTGCAGCTCCTCTGTTCAAGACAAGAGGGAGAGAGAACACACAAGATAGCAGGCTAGTTAGCCTAACGTCCATCACTGAGAAGATACTGGGATCCATTATTAAAATAGTAGAAAAGACACTTAGAAACTGAATGTAAAGAGGCAGAAGCAATATAGTCTCGTGAAAGGAAAATCATGTTTGACAAATTAGTTATTTGGGGGAGTAATAATTGGGGTGGACAAGGGGGCATCTGTAATGTACCTGGATTTCTCAAAGTTGTATATTGAGATGCCACATGAATGATTATTGGACAAAATAAGAACTTCTGGTGTTAGGGGTGATATTAACAGATTAACCAGAAAGAGAGTCAGAAGACATGGTGCATTTTCAGGCTGACAAGCTGCCAGCCTTAACTGTTTACAATCTGTGATAATGACTAGGATGGAGGGACTGACTATATCATCAGCAAATGTGGCTACAGTACAAGGGCAGGCAGAAAAGCAAGTTATGGGGGGATATAAAAATTCTACGAAGGAATAAAGTTAGATGGTAAGTGGGTACTGTAACCTCCTGCCCTTTTTATATTTTCACCAGATAGTATGTCAGATATCCACAATGGAAAAGTCATCCTTATACCAAACATTGATCCATCCCTTGCTTCTTGCTTCAAATTATTTATTCTCAGAATTCACTGGCCTTCCTTAAGTCTCTTCTCTGAATGAAATCTCTCGTCATGTTTACAGTCACCCCTCAACTTTGTAATGGCCCATGACTTCTTTATTCCAAGGTTCTCTATTATTGACAAAATGATCTTTGACCATTT